CTGGGCTTTGGTAGTGCCGCCGGTGGTGTCCGTGCCGGTGAAGAAGCCGTTGCTGAGAGGATGGATGCTGGCGGCCGTCTGGTCTTTGATGGTGCTGCAGTGGGTGTCCGTGCCGGTGAGGAAGCCGTTGCTGAGAGGATGGATGCTGGCGGCCGTCTGCGCTTTGATGGTGCTGCAGTGGGTGTCCGTGCCGGTGAGGAAGCCGTCACTGAGAGGATGGATGCTGGCGGTCGTATGTGCTTTGGTGGTAGTTGTCTTAGTGAGAAATATATGGGTATGCTTGCCGAATGGGAGGGTGATGAGCGTGATATTGTGGTGGAGGATGAGTTGGCTGAGTGGAATAAGTTGTTTAAGCGTGTAGCTGTTAAGAAGTGTAAGGTGGTTGCATCGTTTACTTCTGGTGTTGGTTCAGGCTTTTTAATGCCGCGCGGTGGTAGTGCGCTTGAGCGGTGGCTTGTACGTAATCGTTAATTGGGTTTGTTTTGTTATTTGTGTTTTTTACACTGTTGATTGTTTTGTGGGCGGATTGTGTTGTGTGTTGTGTATATTTTTGTGTTTTTTGTGCTTTTGCCTTGCACGAGAGTCGATGTATGTGTTATTTGGGTTGTCAGCACTGTTTACTACAAGGTGGTCTGTGGTGGGGAGGGGGTAGTACCACTGTGTGGTTGTTGCATTGATCTGCATAGAGGTCCTGTTTGCGTCGGTTCGTTTTGTGCGTAGTTCCCTTTTACTTTGTGAGTATAAATTACGCCGTAGCGGCTATTATTATTATTATTATTGTTGCAATTTGGGGCGTGTGTATCCCGTACTCTTTTTGCCTTAGTCCTTGTTTCTTGTGTGTGTATGTGTGCGGGGGATGGTGGTCTTGTGTGTGCTTTGTTGTTATTGCTTCTCCCTTTTGTACTCCTCGCCAACGCCAACGCCCACACACAGACACATTTTTTTTTTGGCTTGAGGAAAAGCTGCTGCGTGGCGTCTGCGCATCATGAGCATTCTGGACGCTCTCACGTCCTTGGAAAGGCGCTTCTTGTATGAAGCGTTAGAGCGCGCCGACGCTAAGCTGAGTCTTGAAGACGTGAAAGAGGAGCGACTGTGTGGGCAAGAGAAGAATCAGAGTGAGGAGTCGTCGCAGCACCTGACGATGCCACTTGTGGAAGGGAAAAACACGAAGATTGTGCCCTCTGACGCGGTGGAACGCTGTTCGCAGCATATACGGCATGAGAACGCACTGTGGGACGAGGTGGAACGCTCACTCGAATTCCCCTTTGTGTATCGGTCGGACAGAAACAAGGACCTTTGCCTAACGATGCTGCGACGCATCCCACAGTTTGAGTCTTTCCTTGAGGAGGATTTGGTAGTAATTGCCACACAGATGGAGATTGTGCGGGTGCGGGCTAACGTTCCACTGGCTGGAAGTATGCCTTTCCCCCCATGTTGTGCTTGCCTCTCCAAGCAGGCGATGGCGTCCGCTTCCTCTTTTCCGTTCAATGAAGTGGAATGTCTTGCTCCGTTATCGGTGTCGATTTTTGGCGACACGGAGAAAGTCATGTGCGAGCATGTGCCCAGCACCAGCCGCGGTGTAAATCGACATGTATTTGTGTTGCTGCGCGGTAAAATCGCATTACGGATGCCGTCCATAAAAACCTCCGTGGACCCCTTTGTTGAGCCATACGAAGTGTTTGGCCTGCCAATGACCGTGGCTGCACTACCAGAGGGGTCTTGGTACGTTGCAGCGGGTGAATGCATGCTTCTGTGTCTGGCGCGGGACACGGAGCTCGCAGTGGATCGCCTTATTGCCAACCTTGAAAAACAGCTACTTAAGGAGCAAGTTCTTTTTTTGCAGCGTCAACTTCGCGTGAAGGTATTTACTCACTGGACAGCAGAGAAGTACGAGGCGGTGGCGCGGATGCTTGTCCCACTACGCGCCTCCTGGAGGCAAATGGTGGTGACCCAAGGGATGGAGGCGGACGCATTGTACTTCATAAAGGAGGGTCAGTGTGTTGTTGTACGTGATATCCCCGTGCTCCACCAACAGCAGCAGAAGCGGGAGGGAGGGCCAAAACAGTTGCCGGCCTCCACATATGCAGAGGATTACTCATGGCCCCAGCGAATCCCGATATGGGCCTTCCAAAGGTAAAATGAATATGTCAGCTGCTCCCATGGATCCACCGCTGCCACCACCACCACATACAAGACTGGTGGAACTTGGAACGCTGCGTGAAGGAGAGTTCTTTGGTGAGCTGGGCCTGCTTAATCATGACGTGGACTGGAAACCCGACGTTGAGAGAGTCCGGTCAGAGACGTATTGGCAAAGCGCACTCCGCAGCGCCTTACATGCTCCGGTCAACTACGAGGCTCTAGATGACAATATGTCGTGGTGTTCTACTAAGTGTAACACGGATAACTACAGCCTGCAGAGCCGTGTTTCGTCTTCAAAACGGCGTGAAGGTGCATTCCCACCGGCGTCACTCCAGCGGCAAGCCAGTGTCTACACAAAGACTCCTTGTGTTTTATACATGTTGACTCATGAAAGCTGCCGCTACCTGTTTGGAGAACAGGAATACGCGCAGCTAAAGGAGTTTGCTAAAGGATACCCCTCGGGCGAAAACATTGAAGAACAATACGAGCGGCAGCGAAAATGGTCCAAGTACCGCAAAGCGTTGGTGAAGGATGTAGTAATGGATTCGGCGAGTTTTATACGGCAAACATCAAAGTTGCCGCCCCTCCGGTTTCAGTGAAATGTATATTTGCGTCTGCTATTGCTGTTGTTGTTGTTTTGCCCCCTTTTTTGCCTTCTTGGTGCTGGTCTGGGTGAATTCTGGAAACCCAATCCGTTTGCGGCGTTTCTGTCATCCCCCGCTTACCCTCTTTGGTTTCTTTTAGGGCGCCTGTGTCTTTCTCATCCCTCGTAGTAGGTGCGGCGAGAAAAAATGCTGGATGAGGTCCAACTGCGGGAGTTCTACGAGTTCGTGTACCCCGTCGAGCTCGTGACTCAGTGGTTGTCGTACAAATTCGCTGCTGTGGAGAAGATGGACGATGTAATTGACGCTGGTTTCGCTCTCTCGCCCCTGTTGTCGGAGGATGTCGCCAATAAGGAGCAACGCAACATCGCCGCTGAGGGTTATCTTGCGCGGCGAGAGTTTTGCTTTACGCTTCTCGGTGATATCTTTACACGCTTCCGAAGCTACAGCAGCGCGGCGGAGCTGCGACGTGATCTCATTCGCTGCTACCCGGAGAAGATTGATGTAGGGGCAGTGTACACAATTCGCCCTAATCAAAAACAAAGCGCGTCAAGCATTCTTCCTCTTGAGCGTGAGCTTGTGTTTGATATTGATATGAGCGACTACGATAGTGTAAGGTCCTGCTGCAGTGGAAAGTCCATTTGCAACTACTGTTGGACGTGGATGGCATGTGCGGCCCACGTACTGCGGAGAATTCTTCAGGAGGACTTTGGGTTTCGTTATATTTTGCCCGTGTTTTCTGGTCGACGCGGTATTCATCTATGGGTGTGTGACAAGCGAGCATGTAAGATGCACGACGACGAACGTTCTGCGCTCGTGGGGTACTTGACAGTAGTGGTTCCTAAAGCCTCTCGTCAGGCTGTTGTGGCAGACTTTGTTAATGGCAAACCCATTCACCCCACCATTCGTTGTGTGCAGAGAGACGTCATCGACCCGGCGTTTACTCGGCTGTTTTTGGAGTCTTCCAAGTCGAACCCAAATAGCATCCTACACCCGCGAGGGGCCAGTGTCGTCCACTCCGCCATCGTTGCAGCGCTTAAAATGGGCTCACGCCGCGACGTAGAGCAACGGTTTCTGCAACACGTTCCCTTTGAGGATGGAAACATACTTGACTGGGGTTACGTGATACGAGCTTTGGGGGATGCTGCGGAGAATATCACGGCCGCGGCGCAGCTTCTGGTGATGTACCCAAGGCTGGATGAACATGTCACTACACGGCGAGACCATCTTTTGAAGTTGCCGTTTTGCGTGCATCCCGGCACCGCATCGCTCTGTTGTCCTCTTGAGTGGGACACTCTCGTTTCCTTCGACCCTCTCATCGACGCCCCAAAGCTGCAGGAGATGTTGCTGAACCGTCATATGGATTTAAAATGGCTGCAACCGTTAAAGAGCATGCTGCAGGAGATGGGTCTAGACCCTGAGGAGGAGCGTTAGGTCCAGGGTGGCAATGAGAGGTGTTTAGTGTGCACCGCTTCTTTGTCTTCGTCGCCGCTGTCGCCATCACCACCATTTACATCTCGAAGTCGAGAAGGTTATAGATGTTCTCCATAGAAATCATAAGGTGCAACAGAAGAGACAAAAAAAAAAAGGAGCGGGGGGGGGGTGGTTTCCACACAAAAGATAGCTGCAAAGTGTGGATTGCACCGCTTGCCACGCTCTCTCTCTCTCTCTCCATATATATATATATATAGAGAGAGAGAGAGAGTAAGCGAAAGGGAGAAGCGAATAAAAAGTTGTGGTGTGAGGAGTATATGGGATGCAGGGATCCCTACTCCTGCATTGCCTTCTGTGCATATACATCAGCAACGCCAGCACCGTCATTTTTTTTTTTCTGTCACGTTTTCCCTTCAACTTTCTCACTATTCTTCCACCCTTGCCTTCTCCCAATCTCTTTTGCTAACACATGTGGATGCGTCCACAGAGAGGAGCATCCGAACAGCTTCTGGGGTTTTAAATACATTGGCGAGTGAGGTAGCTGGATGTTTGCATTTATTCCGCCGGCAAAGGTCGCCAGGACACAGCGCTCACCGCTGATCAGCCTCAAGGCGGAGGGAGATTCAAATGAGCTGACAGCACCTGTAGTTGCGGCAGCAAATCCCTTTCTGTCGATGGGAGCTGAGCGTGTGCGCCCCAATTCTATTGCTGAGGCGGAAATTTCGGTCGGTGAAGTTCTGATTCGCCCATCGATTTTTCTTTCAGGCATTGGAGCCCATAGTTGCTGGATTGTGGATGAGAATACGCGCCTTCTCCGTGTGTGGAACATGAACAAGCCCTTTTGGATGCGAACGGCTCCTCGCATGGCACCGATTCCTACCTTTACTGAAAGTGAGGGGCTACCGCTCTTTGTCACTGAGCTCGGCCCTGACGACGAGTCATTGGCGTTCTGCACCGATTACGGTGCTGTCTCTAGCCTTGACCACTCCGTCGAGTTTCAGTTCCACAGCGACGAGAGCAACCTCACCGTCTCCGCGTTTGCGTGCCATCGGGAAGGACAGTCAGTGTTGACCGCCGTGGGCACTGTCTCTGGGCTTGTGCTTATCGCCATGAAGTCCGAAGGCGAACGTGCCGTCGTTGGGTTTGATCGCATTGAATTTTCAGATACGGTGGGCCCAGCCCCGCTCTCCTCATCGCTGAGGAGTTGGTGGCGCTCGTGGCTTCCACGGAATTCATCATTGAAGAAAAACAGCTGTAACAAAAGCCAAAGCAGCTGCAGCAGTGATGGCGGTGATGGCAGCGTCGATACCGTTGGTCGTGAGTTCACGCTGCTGCGTTTCCATTCGACACAGACAACTCAGCTGTGGGCCATCAATGCTGCATCTGAAGTTTTCTTGTTGGACTTTGGCTCACTCCAGCGTCGCGGGCGCAATGGGGATGCCGAGGTTCGTGTCAAGTGGGCCACAAATCTCTCCGCATTGCTTCAGCGTAAGGGACGCGTAGTGGCCTTTGATGACACAACTTCCGAGCTGTGCTGTCTGGTGTATTTGCTGCCAGGGGACGGGCGTGGGGCGGATTTGGAGGTTGTCACCATGGACATCTCTAGTGGAAAGTTAAGGCAAACACTGGGCATGCAATCCATTGGATCACTGGTCAAAAGTGTGGCAGAATCCCCATTGCATCACACAAAAATTTGCATTGATGACACACAACATATGGTTACAGTGCTTTCAGGGCAATATTGTGTTCGGCTTAATAACCGAGTGGGTGTTCGTCATCCGTGCTCTAGTGAGGATGTACACGTGCTGCGTGGACTTGAGCGCCCCCTTGGAAGTTCATTACTGCCGGATGGACGGATTGTCACGTTAGACATTAATGGGCCTTTGGAATATGTCCTGTGTGCCGACGAAACAATGATAGAAGCCGTTGCCCAGGGTTCTCAGCAGGAACAGTTTCCTGACGCGTGGCGCAAGTCTCATTTTACGGGGAAACGCGAGGCTTTATTAGATATGGTGCGTCATGTGGATGACATTTTACATACGCTGCGCATTGACGCCAAGATGTCGCTGGATTCCGCGGTACTGGAGGTTAGCGAGGGCATATCTTTGCATCAGGCACCACACGAGGGTAATTGGGCACGTGCCGACCTTGACGTGGAGGATGATGGCATGATCATGTATGTGACACAGAATCTCGTTAGGCGCCAGCAAGAGCACCGTCGTTTTCTTCTGACGGTGCTTCTTCACAATGAAATTGGTCCTTGTCTCCAGGAAGAGACGATTGCACGACTTCTCTCTGCGCAGGAAGCGTTGCTTGCAATGGTGGCGATTCGACGTCTACAAAACGACAGTTCTTATCCTTCATCAACCCTTACCACCAACAACTGCAGCGGTGACGTGGAGTTTGATCTGGTAACACCACTTTATCGCAACGCCACCACTGGAATGCGGCAAGCGGACGTGGATTATTCTGTGGAAGAGTACTTTCGTCTGGCTCGCAGCTCTGTTGAAAGGGAGCAATGTCAGCAGTTGCTGCGTGGAGCGGTTATTCAAGTTGCCAATCGTCTTCGCAGCGAAGCTGGTGCCACACCGACTTGGAATGCACGGGCCACCGCAGCGGAAATCGCCTTTGGGGCGCCAAGTCGGCTCACTACGCTTTTGCAGGTGTTGGGGGAGCAACACTGCGAGACCCAACGCAGCGTACTCGTGGATCAGCGCACGAAGTTTGAAAACGCCATGGCATTGGCGAGTATCTTTGTGCTTGTTACACGTGCCGTTAACGAGTCACGCGAGGATATGGCCTCTCTGTACAAGGTACCTCATAATGTCCGTCTGATGCTCTGGACGAGCTCGGAGATGGAGCACTATGGCATTCAGCTTCAGATGGCGAGCGCATGCACCAGCCTGTCTGACACCTTAGCTGAAGTCACCGCTGCAGGCAGTAACGCGGCCCCAGCACTGCATCCTGCACCTGGAAATACATCTCCTTCCTTGTGGAGTGTCCCTGTACCAGACCAGCTACGTTTGTTGGAGCTTATTGCATTAATCATTCACTTTTCGTTTCAGAACCATTCGCAGGGGAGCTCTTCCTTTTACGCCGACGCGCTACGGCGGACGTTGTTTCGCGAACCTTTTTTGCGTGAGCCATTGGGATATCCATTCGGTCCTCCACGCCCCTCGGCGGATGCGACGATTGGGACCGCAGTACTGCGTCTCTGTGAAGAGCTGGCATTAGAGTTCACTGTGGGCGACATACTTGTGGCTATTTCCCTTGCCAAACCCATTGAGGACCCTCAACAAGAGCAGGAATCTTATAGGCTGCTTGGTGCCTTCTGTCAGCGCAATCCGTACATGTTTGACATCGCCCTTCGCACTCTGCTGTTACAGCGTAGGGAGTGGGAGTTGCAGTTATTGCCAGAGCTTCTGCCGGAGTACCCTGCTGGGAATCTCGCACGTGACGCCTTTCTTATGCGGGATGCGCCACAGCTGGCATGGTTGGTGAAGCCCACCGCCTTTGAAGCACTTGTAGCGGAAGGGGCGCAGTCGCCGTTGTACCTTGCATACGGTGAAACCCTCATCACCCACCGTTCTCGCTCTCTGTCAATGGCCAAGCTGGCTTGGGTAGCGGCGGGTGCCCCGACGTCGAGCGCGTATCACGCAATGCGACTGGACGAAGAAATTGTGGCGGCGCAGAAGATGTGTTTGTTGCCGGAAACGAAAAACATGGATTTTGGCCCCGCTGAACTTGTCCAGCACTTACTGAAGCAGCCGGCACCAGATGCATGGGTGTCTGCTGCAAAGGTTGCCTGTCTGTTGAAGGATGAGCTGCGGGAAGACCTCCTGACGCAGATTGTGCGTCGCGCGAGGCTGGAGGATGGGGACGTCCTGAGCCACATCATCCGGGACGGCGCAAGCGAACTGGACGTGGCCCGCGCGCTGGAGGCAACCTCCATTGGGCGCATTCTGATCACTGCAGCTGCGGCGCAGTGTACATGTGTTTTAGCTCGTGTCTGGGCGAATGTGCTCGAAGACAGGGAGCAGCGGTTGCTTTCTGCGTGGTTGCAAATGCGGGCGGCAGGCCTGGTGACGTGAGGCGGGGGAAAGCAAAAGGTATAGATGGCACACGTGGGAGCTGTGTGAGTCTCTCCCTTTCGCTTGCCCTCCACATGCATGTAGTGAGGGGGTGGGGGTATACATCTCCCTTTCGCAGTGTGTGGGGAAGCACTGCTTGCGGTGCTAAGTAAAGGAGGGGATAAAAAAAAAAAAACTGAGGAAAAGAGGAGGAGGAGTAAGCTGCGGTAGTTAACAGCATGGCGTTAGAGATGAGGGTTTGTTTTTAAAGACCACACAACAGCAACAAAGAATGGAAGAAGAAAAGCAAAACAAAACAAAAAAAAAGGCAAAATGAGGAGCGACGAGTTGAGGGTACAAGGAACTAAATGAGGGCAAAGAAAGCATGAAAAGAGTGAGTCCAGATGGAAACCTCCGCAAGTCAGAAACAAAGCAAACAACAACACTAAGAGGGCCATCAATGCACCTGCCTTTTATGTTTTGTTTCTGTGGTGCCGTTGGACATCTGCCACTAGTGCCCACTCCGCTCCGCCCTTTTTTTTTATTTTCGTTGTTCTTCTCAAGGTTTATCTGAGCCCAGCGCCGACCCATTGGAGATGTCTGTTCCTTTTTGTTTCCTTTCTCTCCATTTCTCTGTCCTTTTATGCCTTTTTTCCCTGCCACTCTGAAGGCTACCATGGGGCGCGAAAGGGCCCACAGGAGAGACAGAGAGGCGAGGAAGGGTGGAGTCGAAAATACCTCGGCAAAACCATTGGTGACGGAGTCGCCATCACAGCTCTCCCATGCACTTCCGTCGTTTATTGAATTCAAAAAGCAGCAGGCGTCACTTCTTTTCATTGCGTGGGATAACGAAGACACTGGCCGTATCGAGGCCCGGCAGCTTCGACCTATCATCTATGCCCTTTTTCCTAACGATGCAACGGAGTTTGTGGTTAGCCCATGCGAGATACGAGAGGCGTTTGCCGAGGCAGTTGGGCAGCCATGGTCGCTGCAGCGAAGTGTGACACTTGGTGAGGTTTTTGCCATTTTAGATGCCTTGTGGTCATCACAGAAACGACGCACACGGATGGTTACGGCGTGTCTTCGAAGTGTGTTTAACACTGTCTCTGATGCGCAGCCTACGATATCACGTGAGGCACTATTAGAATTTGCTAAACGTGTCGCCTGCACAGATGTCAGTGCGGAAGTTGTGCGGCCAATTCTTTGTGCTGCGGCTGCGGCGGACACCAATCTCAGCGATACGATGGACTTTGAGGGTTTCTGCGGTTTAATCCTTCCAGGATTAGTGCAAGGATAGATCGAGTTACGAATGTGTTTGCAGAGCGTAGATCATCGAAGGATACCGTAACTACAATTTGGTCTGCGTATGCCACTGCCTAGTTGTGGCAGTTAAGCTGTACAATGTGGACCCTTCTTTCTTTTGAAGAGGGTCAGTGCGTATTTGCTAATGCACCCTTTAAAAGAGAGCGGAACTGGGTGTGTGTAGTTTTCTTATCTGTGCTTCTTCTTCCCTCCTCCATACACTCACATACACACATACACACGCACACGCACGCAACTGCAAAACCTGCGTTTCACATATTTCTGTATATACACATTCGTTACGCTGATACCCACCATACCTCTATTACACGCCGTTATATTTCTATGAATTGAGTGTTATGAGATGATCGTGTGGCTTTTCTGTCGTATCTTTACCGAAGAGATTTGTGTCACGGGATCATAAGAGATTTGCCTCTTTTCCATATATATATATCTTGCTTCGGCAGAGCTGCCCACCAATGTGTGAAGGAAGAGTGTCTAGTAATGCATGGGAAACTGACCGTACGGCAACATCGGCAAGAAAAAAATCGAGTGACCGAGCATCTAAAGTGACTATGATACCAGTGCCACCATCGGCAGCCGATGACACCGCGAGTAGTCCATGGACTATCACGGCCTACCGCTCACCTCGTGGCAACGCGCGAGAAGCATCATTGAGGATGTCATCCGTTGCATTTACCACTCCAGGTAGCGACACCGCTAGTGCGCGGGCGTCAACGATTCTTCCTGCCTTTTCCGTGGAGGATGCGGAAGTTCAATGGGGTATTAGGGATAAAACACGTCGACTGCTTGCGCTTTTGCGAAAGAAGCATAGGGAACTTGTAAGGGCCGAAGAGGAGGCCTTCAATACTTTGCTGCGTCAGGCGGACTCCAGCGTGGCGAGTATAAATGCATTTGTAGCGTTTCGACAAAATATAGAAATCTCCGCGCAGCGGGAACGTGAACGGGTTCTGCCGTGGATTAAGTGCTGCTTTGCCGTCAGGGTTGAGCGGATCATTTGTGAAGAGTGGGAAGAACGTCAGTCTATCATTTCCTACGAGTGGCGACTGCGGGAGGCTAAGCGTCGTGTGGAGTGGCTGACTGGCACCAAGATGCGTTTAAGACGGGCGATGGAGTTGCTTCTACACGCTGAGGAATGCCGTCGAAGGTTTATTGAACACGCTGAACTGCGGGAGGCGTGGGAAATGCCGGAGTTGCGTCCGTTTGTTCGTGTTTTCAAGAACTTGGGCGTACTGGGGCCATGCCCCTTTGTATCGGTGGAGGACTGCCCCTTTTACTGCCGTGGGGAGGGCTACCGCAGTCCGCACTTTGAGTTTACCGTGAAGGGTAAACCCTGGACGGTAACGTTACCGTCTCCGTCCTAATGGTTTCCTCTTCTGTATATGTGTGTATATATATATATATATATAGTTGCTGTTGCCGCATTGTGCGTGGCATACGAAAGTATTTTTTTTGTTTTTGTTTTTTTGTCTCTTTACCTGAATCACCTGGCTGTATTTCCTGCGTTTTCTTTTTGTGTTTTGCCTAGTTTGTTTACTTGTTATTTTTTTGTCGTTTTTAAAAAGAAAATATTTTTTTTTTCTATTTGAGTGTTTCTTTGGCTTTTTGCTTTTTTTTCCGTTATTATTATTATTATCATTTTTTTTCTTTTTTGCGGTTTCTACTCCTACGTACACACTTCGTGTCAAATTCTTTACTTATTAGAGACATAAGCGGGGCGAAGGCGCCGCGATGGAGGCGTCTGCCATCAATTCACCGGTGGAGGACGACGCCACGCTTGCCAAGGATGCCCAGCAGTTTCTCACTGTGATTGCGGACATGCAGTATGAGGCGGAGCGGCGGCGTCTCATTCTGGATGAGCTGCGGCAGAAGGAAACAGCTGCCAAGGCCGAGCTAGAGAAGTGCCTCGTGGCACGTGAGGCTCTAGTAGCCCGTATGGCTCACACAAAGGCTGAGGGGCTGGAGCTGCAGGTTGAGTATAACGGCCTCTGCTCTCGACAGCGGGCAGCGGAGGCGGAGGCGTTGGAGCTGCGCCACCAAAAGGCTCACTGGATGCAGTTGTTGCAGCTGTATCAGACACCATCCACGCAACCATCTTCCCCTATTCGCACGGAGAGTGATGACAGTGATGGGACGCACGGGTCTGACACGCCACAACTTTCCCGTGCCTTTAATGCGTGGATCCAACTGCCACACAGCTTTCTCTTCCTTCGGGTCTTGAAGACCACGCTAACAGAATTTATGACAGAGCTGCAGATGAACACTAGGAGCACTTCCGATGAAGTAATCAGCACGATTTACAATGATGCGTCTACGGACCATACGACAGCTGCTTCGGATTTGGCCACTATTTTTCCTCACCTGCCATCCTTGGGTCCTCTGGAAAAAGCAGTCCTTTCGCTGGTTTCCTTTTTTGCCTGAGGTGCTGTGACGGGGACCGGCAGAAAGATTAAGTTGCCTAATATATATATATATATTGTGTGT